TGCGGTCTTCGTAACCATATTTGAAGCACGCAATATCGAGAACTAATGGCAGAGCATTGCGATGTGCGTACAACCTTCGTGCCTAACGGACGCATTCGCTTCGCCGGGTTTGCTCAGTTTATTCGGTAGGATTACACGTAGTGCGATATGTATCACGTTTACAAGGTGTTTTGCTGCAGCGCACACGGCCTGTAAACCGCAGCAGGGAACAAAAGTCAAGAGTCAATGTGTAAAGCCGGACGTTACTACGCGCATGACGCAAATAAAATCGCATTACACACGATACAAAAACGCGCAAGCGTCAAATGCGACGTATTTTAGCAAAATAATTGATGTGTTATAGTCAAGGTAAAAGCGGATCGTGTTTTCAGAGAGAAAGGAATGAGAGGGAGAGACGGGGGAGGAGAAGAGGGTGTGTTGACGCCTGTATGAAATTTTTATCAAATTTCACAGGACACGTCGCGCGACGATGCGAACTATTCGTGAATGTTTTCGCTATCGGTCATCGTGATATTCAAACGAACATATTCGTGTACGTATATTAACAAACAATTTGCTGTTCTAGCAAAATTTATTTTCTCCGTGTACGATGAAATGCCAATAGCAGTGTGTAAGCATTATTAATAAATAATCTTGGCTCGAAAGACAGCCACGAATCGTACGCGCATAGTGGCGTGGGCCGGAAGTTCCAACGATTGCGCGAATCATATTTTGCATGTAACGAGCTTCCGATTAGTTGCTAATGCGGAATTCCGCTACCGCCGTTAGTCGATCGCGGACATTAATCGCGAGAAATTAACGAGTCGAGGTTTTAGCGGATGAACTTGAACCTAGTTAGCAACAATTGAAATTGACCTCCAAGCAGTAGACTACCAATTTGCTATCGGCGATATGAGCGTACGTAACGAGATATGTGCGCGCTATCAATTTCGTAGGCGGTCTAACACACCGGTTTTAACAATAAATTGATCATCGTTGCTCGTAATTTGAGAATAATCTTAACGATCATTCTATTTCACACCATTCTTAATTTAACATTTTTAATTTCACACGATCTACCATAATCGCGAAATTTAAAGGCTCCGCGTTGTAAGTATATAGCAGATATTCTCTCTCTTTCTCTCTCCTCCTCATTTAATTTATTAAACTTTATTAAATTTCTCTTTCTTCCAGAGAACTCTCCCTTATACTCTTATATTCTCGTCTCTGAGCGCAAAATTTGTAGGTCGATGTAATTAAAAAATTCCTAACTCTATAGGTTCTTATGCGATTACACGTTGACCGACAGACTGAAATATCCATTTCCTTTTAATGTAAAATTCGTTACATCACTGCTACTTTGCCATGCGTAGAAAACCAGAGAAAAAAAAGGAAACGAACGGTGACACGGGTACAAAAGTAACCGGAAGTTTATCTCCGCGAGTCTCATCTAGCGCGATATTTTTATTCGCGCTTGTGGGGTCCATTTAGTGAAACTACAGGCAATGTGGTCAGACCGAATCGATAAACGTCTCGCTCTCAATACGATCCCGGCGTAGCGGAGGACCAATAAATTCTGTCTTTGGTCAATACTCGTCCTTCGAGAAAATACTTTGTTATCGAGACCAGTCCTCGTAGACGACAAAGTAGACAGAGACACACTCGGACGGGACGAAATTCTGAACTAATTAAATCACAATCGGCCAAGGATCACCGGACCGGAAATAAGCCTCAACTCGGGACAAGCGAGCGAGACGCACAAGCATTTCAGAGTGAATCTTATCTCGAGACTCTGGCAGCCCGAGAACAATGCGCCGAAAGAGCGAGTTTTATTGCAATTGAGTAATCGTGTTAGGGCAAATTATTTTCGTACAAGTCCTTCTAGTCGACGTTTTATTTTACGAGAACTCCTTCGACGATTGCGATTATACTTTATAGAGAAAGACGGCGCATCAACAAGACGAAGTAGCGAATGTCACTTCGGGGGAAAGCGCGCCGACGGGTTCCTTTAACCAAGATCGAAAATAGTTTTCGCTGGCGATAGGCCAGAACTGTTAGGCGCACTGTCTGTGTATCCTCTTCGGTGCCGTAAACGTTTGCACTTCGCGCGCTTTCCGGATTCAGTCTGCTATCGGTTTCCGCTAACTGCAATATGTGATTCCAGTCGGCGGATATAGTTACGTATAGGAAATACGCAAACCCGTCGTCGGGCCCGCTATCTCTCTATTCGCAAATGCTAGAACTTTCAAGCGGCACAGAAACTAATGACGTGCAGAAGAGCATTATATTTCTAATCGAGTGAATTTTCATCTCATTATTTTCTCCATAAAATCGTTTTTTAGTAGTATCGTGCGATGTATCTTTTTCTATATACGGACATACATCAGTTATTACTGCGAATTTATAGTCTATGCGATGCAAGATGTAGTAATCGAGAAATCACATTTGGATTTCTTAGATATTTTTCAAACGACTCTCGTAGAACGTCTCCTTATTTCTTATCCATCGTACGCGATTTCCTACTTTTATCTCTACTTCGTCCCGGCTGCGATGTACGGTGAATTAAATCGTACCTGATATTGCCTATTTAGCTAATTTACAATTCGTCCGTTCATTTAGACGCAAACCTGCAGATAACGCCGGCCACATCTTCCTACCTGGATAACAATCGAGTGGTATTGTTGTGCATTAACGATATTACTAGGTTAATGATAATAGAGTCACGCGATATTTCGCGTCGAAAGCTTGCGCCGCCTTTGAGCAGCTAAAAGCGTTTTAAACGCACTATCACAGGGAGATGAGGCAAAATGGAACGCACGCGAAGACATACTTGATTCACTAATGTCTCTTTCGTCGTATTTTTATCCCGGTCATTTGCGCGTGACAAATTACGCACGTGCAGATCGGCAAAATTTTCGGCAAATTTGCGGATTACGTGAAATTAAATTTTTCATTTAAATTTATGAATTTGTTGTAGCGCGCGATTTCATTATTTCATATTGTCTGCAACAATCCACCGAAATGTACAGTCGTTGATATTTTTTTCGCCAGACGACTGAAAAACATGAAAATGCTTCTTGCGAAGTGCACAGCGGGAGCTGTGCAACTCCGCTTCTCCGTCGCGATGAAATACACGAGACACGCGGGGATATTTTATTTTCGGCGATGCACGCTATTAATAAACGGATGGCATGCCGCTCGGTGCTCAGGTCGGAGCACACAATGAATCTTCCCGCATATCGCTTAGCGCCTATCACTCGCGTGCGTAATTCTGCTTTGACAATGGGACTCTCTCGATCCGAGAGGGAAGCAAATTCGAGTCGCGGAGCAAAATGTAAAAACGTCCGGACATGACAGTGACATAAGATCGCTGCACGTTTCATCCGGCGGAACAACATGGATAAAACACGAAATTATCTTACGTCATGTACCGCGACTGGCATTCGCGTACGCGAGGAAATTGTGACGTAACGAGTTGAAATTCGCCGAACGACTCATCAATATTTCACCGTTAAATCTCTCTCCCTCTCTACGCGGAAAAATCGGAAGCCATCGTTCATTTACTCGAGTCGTGAAATCGAATCAACGGACTCGTGGCAAAATCGACAGCGCAGGCTTATTTACAAGCGTCACGCTCATAACGATAGGAGATTAACGGCATTGTCGAGAGAGGATTATGCCAGTCATGTAAATATGTCGCTAATTCCAAACGACGATCCAGCGCTGAATAATATAACGCGCGGCGACGCCAACCCGATGACACACTTTGCACAAAATTAAATATAAAATCGAGTCCGACGCGTCGGACGAGCGCGATAATTAGCGCGAGGCTGCGCCGCAATTATTGCCGGCTTTTAACGCGCGGAATTGGCATGGCCAGGAAGCATCGACGGGACGGAAATGCAAGCCATGACATCGACATGCCGCAATCGGTATCTCGGCAGATGTATATAACGAACGCAATTGTCGCATCGGGCACGATTTCGCGCAATTACACGCGCCTCATTCAAAACCAGCCGGCGGGTATCGACGTTACGGCGAAACGGCTGTTGTTTTTCGCGTTCGAGTGAAATTTCGTCCGATCGACCGAATCGTTCGTCGCCACGTTGACGAATTTAATAGTATGCAAATTCGTATAGAAAGAGAAAGAGAGAGAGAGAGAGAGAGAGAGAGAGCAACAAAAAGAATAACACCGCTGGCGCGTCGATTTTCCTCCGAACTATCGACCTGTGCATATTCACGTGATTTTCAACTTGACAATTTCGAGCCCATCGAGCCTTCGCCGTTCCCTCATTTTTTTCGATAAGCCCGGCCACGCGTTTACGTGACAGGTCGCGATCGAAGGGAGTCGATATTCCGCGACATTCGTCAGTATTGCGCGCTAAATGTTTGTTAAGTCGCCGACTTAACGGGGATTTATATTTGTTCGCGAAACATCGCCGGTCGCATAAAGTATTTCCTCATGCTCACGCGTGGGTGTTGGTAAATAATAGCGACGCACATGCGTGTAACTAGGAAAGATGCGTAATTCGAGAATACTTGCGCGCACGTGATCACATTCGCGATCGTGTCAAATAAAGAAACTCGTAAAAACGGCAAGACAAATAACGCTTATAACGCGTGTACGTCATAAAACCTCTCTGGGTGTGTTGGTTTAAATTATGTACATCAAATTCCCATCAATTGAACAACAAAGAGAAAAATACGTTCCGCGTATGCAGAAATAGTATGAATATTTATATAAGAATACGCAAACAAAAGTTCGACAATCAGAGCACAATTTGCAATGTTTGTTAGACGTTATTTCATGTTATTTTATGTTATATCATTTCATTCTTTTCCTTCTCACCTGTCACAAATATTTCTTTTATTTTCTCCGTTATTATCGTTTCTAACCGTAAAATAGAAAGATAGCTGTAAATTTTATGATCTGGTGTCGGGAAGGATCAATGTTTTATTTCTCGAATTACAACTTTCATCAATTTTCTATTTATTCGTTAACTTATATATTTATTTCACTCAATAATAATATTGATCCAAATAGCCGGCGATAACGGTCTGTGAATACGAGTCTATATATTTAATAATAATAACTTTATTGGTCTCGAATAATAAAAAGTCTGTTAGGCAAAGTACTACAATATAAATTTAAAAAATTAAAAGTTAAGAATTAACCGATATAGGGAACCAATAGGCGAGGTAGAGCTGTGACTAATACGACTGCTTTATCTGAGCACCTAATTAGATAAAAAGAATTAAAGAATCTAGTGTATGTTTTGCAAGTCTTGATATACCCGTCTAATAATATCGCTTAGGCCGCAAATCCCTTGTTAACATCTGTCAACGTCTTCTTTGCGCTTCTGAAAAATAAGAGAAAGATTGCGAATAAAAAAAATGTATTATTATCTCTTAATCCCATTATTGTAGGATTAAGTAGAGATAAAATGTCGTGTCACACAGTGATGAATTTACGAGGAGGAAGCGAGTCATTTGAATCTCCCATGAAATGCAAAAGTCTGTCGCTGCAGGAATTTTTCCTACCTTCTGTCGCGCGAACTGAAACGAACAAGCGCGCTTTGATCGCGGATTATTCCCGTCGCGCGGCACTGGATCTGCAAATTAATGAGACAGATACGGCGCAAGAAAAAAAGAGAGAAAACGATCGCGCACCGCATTTTGCACACGCGCGCGTATCGAGATTCTAAAAATGAAAGAGAAATTAAATTGCACCAGATCTCCATAATGTTTACTTTCCATTTATATAAAACCGAAACTTACATTGCCGCTCGGCCATTCGCAATTTTTATGTGCGCCGTTATTGTGTTGCTGGCGGTTCGACGCGGAAGGACGCGCGGAAGGTTATTGTTTCGAAAAATTATACGATACGTCCCGAATGTGCTCTGAACATATCGACATTCCTCACAGCATTCTCCACACATGATTCTGGGTCATTTTGTGCTATCTGAATGTATAATATATACAGTTGTCACACAACCACAGCATCTTCAGTAGCTCTAAATATATTTTTCTACATGTGAAACTTTTATAGTTGAGACAGGTACCACAACAATGAACTTTTCTCTGAGTGCAGACCACTGTGCAACACATGCCGCAGCGCATCGACGTTACGTCATTTAATTCGCTCGCTGCGGCACAGAAAACCGAATGGGAGCCACCGTGGAGTGGTGGCGAAGTTCGATAATTGCTGAATCGGCGAAACTTCGGAGTCTAAAGTTCACAAGCAAGTGACGATGTGGCACACCTCTGGTTCAAAGCGACGCCTCGCAATCCACTTCGCGGACGACGCGCTAATTGCATCAGATTCGAGATTCTTGAAACGATATTAACACTAATGACAACAACAATGGACTCGGCAGCGTTAATTGCGGCGAAATCGCGATCTTCTCTCTTGAACTGCGAATGCAATTTCGGAATTTATTCGATCGCGCGAGGAAAGACGAAAGACCGGTATAATTTCGCGACGAGTGTAATTTCCGCTCGAGCGAGAATCGTGAGACGCCTTTCGGCATGTTATAAATCCGTACGTATGAGAGGAATTATGCGAATGCAGATTTTCACTTTGCGCGGCGCTAGTTTCAGCCTCGCGATTTCCATGCGGCGGGGAGGGGAAGGGTAAGCCGGGAATACGCTTTATGCTAGTTACGAACGACGAGCACAGGAGGGTATTGAAAGTTGTATGAATGCGAGCCGAGTTGGTATCGGGAAAAATTCGATTCAAGCGACTCGCCACGCTGTTGCATTTCACAGCGGCGCTGTGACGGCAAAAAGAGAAAGAAGAACAAACGCGATGCCCAATTAACGGGTCACTTTGACAGAGTGTCGGCTCTTTTTTCCCGAAGAATGGAGCGGAAAGGAGCGCGATGGATTAAGGTACGCGGTAAAGCGAACTCGCACGAGCGGCCGACGCTTTTTGTTTCGGGTGAGATTCGTCAATAGGGATGTTGTGATATTATTGATGTAATACTGGTATTGATATTTTTCTTTCAGTACCGAATATTTTTCGATCGATATATTTCCTCTAACATTAAATTTTTTTAAGTCTCGATATCGATATTGTTGTTCTGATACTAGCATCACTAGTGATATTAATACTTTTCATTACTTATTTCAATATTAGAACCGATGCTTTCGCGTACGCGGTAAAATTGCCGTCAGAAAAATTCGTTGACAGGAGGAGATGAGAAATTAACGAAAGTACAAAAGCCCATCGATGTTATGCCGTGACACGATTTATTGTATTTTCTTCAGCATCGTCATCGCCGTCGAGGCTCATTTAGTTGATTATCACGTCGCAATATCGGCCGTACGATACTGCGCGCCACATCGCGTAACATCAGAGCGATTCCGCGTTGTTTATTGCACGAATTGCGGAAACGACGTGATGGAAATACAATATGCCGTAGCGATTGCAAAGCGAACGGAACAATGATAATTTCATACGGCGGTGATCGATTTAACGAGGTGACTGATTGCACACCTTCGTGCTGCGCGTACATCAGCGCGGAAGAGCAGTCATCGACGCTAATTAGAATCACCGGCCGGCGTCGGCCGGCCTTGGCTCCATCGGCGATTACCTTACGATCGCGTGTCCGAGCGCGACTTGTTTCATTAGCGGATTAGGTTGATTCGTTTACCTGTCGACGACAATTCCGATCAATTAAGGTAATGCAACCTGCAGAGTGGAGTGTATCAGAATCGCACGTGAGACGCGGCTACGCCTTTTTATTTGCTTTTTTTTTGCCTTTTATTTTTTTTTTCTAACAAATAATAATAACGTCTGAAATTAGTCATATATTCAGTTACTGGATAATTCGACTATTCGGGTAATCAAAATTGACAACACTACTGAGCACACACACATTGCTTTCTCTCTCTCTCTCTCTCTCTCTCTCTCTATCTTGGAGATTTTTCATTTTTTTACTATCACGTTGTAATGAGATATCGAATTTTATAGTAGAAGACTGGAAGAACATCAACAGGCTCGAAAGCGGATGTGTACCGTCGTGTAATTATTAACGAGAAAACACGAGTCGACAACTCGAAATCAAATTTCGCCAATAACAACAACAACTTCTCGTCTAACGTTTTCACGAAGTCCGCCGGCAAGAGCGCGTGGCTCACCCACGCGTTTCCGAACTTTGCCAAGACGGAATTTCTCGCAGCGAACGAGGTGTACGTCAGTTTTGGCGTTTCGCGAGTCTTTTGCCATTTACTCTCGACGACTTGATGGACGAGCTCATCGGATATCTGACATTTTCGAAATACTCCTTTCGCACGCGCGCATCGTTCACGTATCGGATATCTATCAGGGCGAAATATAAAGGGGAACGTTATCATAACGTTATCGAGAGGAGCTTCGAGGACTTTCGAATTCGCGAAAATTATCCGATTCAATCGATCCCTTCCCTTCGTCCCGCGACCGAAATCAAGCGGCAGAAATATATTGCGCGCGGTAAAAGTGTTAGGTCCTTTATGAGGGTAAGGTAAAAGGAGGAGAGAGGTCAGATACGCGCGGCGGAGCGGCTCAGTTTGCCCTTATAACTCGACACACGAAACCCTGATCGCGCGAACTTACGCACGTGCACAATATCGTTGCCATTCCTTAAGACTTGCGATGGTAAATCAGATTTTGTGACTATCGCTACGTAAGAAACCCGCCAGACGGTATCGGAATTAATGATCAAGCTAATTAATACGAAGTTATATATATATATATATATATATATATATATATATATATATATCGATCAA